CTCCAACTAAAGAACAACTAAGCCTTATCCCACGTGATTTGGGGTTGGCTGTATAGACCAAGAAGAGAATCACCTTCAGTCATTAACGAAAATGCTTTCTATCAAACTGAACAGAGCATCACAGCTAAAACTTTTTTGTTTCTGATTCTCAGAGAAATATAAAGTAATATGTCATCCAGAAATTAGTTTGGGATTTCGTGTTTGATTTTAGATCATTACTGAAATGCTGATGCTTTTGCCCTATGCAGGTCATGGTTCTTGTATATATCCGGGGAGGTAAGTGTAATGTTTGTTTTTTTTACAGCCGAGTTATTCCCAAAACCCCTCTTATATACTCCTTCTGTCCCAAAGAACTTTACTCCCTTCCCCCTTTTGAATGTTCCTTTCTTTATGGGGCCGGTTCCCATGAAATTAGCCACCAATGTCATGGAATGACTCAGGGGTGCTCCGGTGCCCGTTCGTAAAATTGACGGTTCTTACCCTCCCTATCCCCCCTGGTAAACCCCCCCACCCCGCCCCAACCCGAACACACCCCCCACCCCCAAGTTAATTTTGACTTTGGAGTCAAATTTTGACTTTAAGTCAAAATTAACTTCGGGGGTGCAATTGAAGGGGGTGGGGGGTGTGTTCGGGTCGGGTCGGGGCGGGGAGGTTTACCAGGGGGGATAGGAAGGTAAGAACCGTCAATTTTACGAACGGGGCACCGGAGCATCCCCGAGTCATCCCATGACATTGGTTCCCAATGTCATATGGGAACCAAGGTTTTTTTTTAATATATGGCGATACTAATGCCTTCTTTATTTTCTCCTATTTTTTGTGTGTACTTTAAGTGTCGGGAGAAATGGATCCTTAACAAACGGGACCTCTCTTGTTCCATCGACAAACTCTACAGACTCTGGCTGTGGATTGCAATACTTGCATGATTCCAATGCTCTCATCATCAGCTCGCTTATAGTCTGCTTCGCGTTCTGGTTGTAAAAGGATGTTTGGCGATGTGTTATTATTTATGCTGTGGATATATTCTGAACTCATTTCGATACACACTCTCTCTTTACTAACAAACACCTCTCCCCCATTTTTGAGGTAGCAATGCAAATTCAAACATCGGCTAGCGGCTACTTTTGCGGTTATTACGCGCCATCCATTCATATTTATTTGTTCAATCACTGATAATTTCTGTAACTATTTCATAAAGCGTTTCGAACTATTTGTACTGCACATAAAAGTAATTATTGACAATGATTTAGTTTCGATGAGATAATGGATAAAATGTTATTACATGGGTAAAACTGGGTAAATCTTGACGCTCCCGATCATGCAGAGTTGGGATTGGAGTTTGTTATTGTTGTTGAGAGTAACATTCGACGTTCTAACAGTTGGGACTTGAAATATGCTGTTAGAACTTGGAATTCCTCATGTTGAATTGATTTGTGTTGTAATAGTGCTTGACCATTTTGGGCGTATGGCTTTTGGCTTTTGAATTTTATCTTTTCTGTTCATTGATTCAAAACCGGACCAAACCTTCTTAGGTTGTGACTTTAGGGGGCCCTATTCAAAAGTTGTACGGACCGCAACCCGACCTTAATTTTAGGTAGTACCTATAATATCCTCTGCGTATCTACTTCGTACTTAATAGCCTGTATTCTCTATAACTATACATATTTTGAAAATTTATCAAATTGTACCTGGTTAATTTACTACGAAGTAACTAGTAAATGTACGATGAATACAAAAAATATAAATTAGTAATTGATCTACCTATGAATTCTCTTTGTCGCGTAATATTAGTCTAGTTTGACATTAATTTTAATAATCAATTATAGTAAATTTGTATTATGAAGTATAGAGTATAAACTAATACTCCGTACAACGCAACAAATTTCGTATAGCTTATTAACTATGTGTTTTCCTAAATTGGTCTCCAAAATTAACTAATTTCCAATATGATACTCGTTAATTTAAAATAATGCTCACTTCACGGCCGTTAGAATGACATTAAAGCGGCGTTAAACTTTATACTACTTTCCTAAAATAGTACTTTCTAACTTGGTGTTTTTCAAATTGGTCTATTTTTGAAATAAAAATACATTAATTATAGAAAAATATTTTGAATTCTATCGGATGACAGTATAATACTTAAAAATATAAATACGAGTATAATTTTATAAATTTAAAAGTAAAAGTTTTTGATTATTTATAATTATTTAGAAGAATAGCAAGTAAATAAAATGTTAAATAATTATTAAAGAATCACCACAAATAGGAGTAAAACATAAAGGAAGTACTAAAATAGGAGCTTTTTTATGTTTTACTACTATTTAGGGTATTTTCTTCAATGTTTATTAAATATTTTGTTCACATGATATTGTTTTAAATAATTGTAAATAATCTAAAATGTTACTTTCAAATTCAAAAAATTATTTTTATTTTTAGTATTATATTGTCATATTATATAATTCAAAATATTTTTTCATAGTTAAATGTATTTTTATTTCAAAAATGGACCAATTTGAGAAAAAACCCGGTCAGAAAATACCAATTTTGAGAAGTAGTATAATTTTTAAAGTCTTTTTAACGGCCGTTACATGGGAGGGGATGAACGGAGCATTATTCTCAATTACCGAGTACGGAGTACTATTTTGGGAATTAATTAGTTTTGACGATTAATTTGTGAAAATATATAGTTATTGAGTAGCATTCTAAAAATTTAATCTAAATATAAAAAAAATTTATTTTTATAATAGTATACAAAAAAATTTGTACTTATGATCAAAATTTATCTATTTTGATTTGAAAAATGCTAACTAAATGAATATGTTGGGACAGAGGTTATACACTTATTTGGATTGGATCGGGCTGTCCTCGGACTCCAACTACAAAGCCATACGCCCATACCTACACTTCACCATTTGAGGCCTCTGAAATTCACCAGCCGAGCCAAGCCTAAATGCTCACTTTTCGGGTGGGCCTTTAGGGGCTACATACTCAGGCCCATAGTCGAGTTTATCAAGAATATACAGTCTTGGACCTTTGTATAGAAGACTTAATTTTAAACATTCTGGATCGAGAAGAAAGTCACCAAACCTAAAAAAAGTTTGATCCTTGATACGACTAGTTCTAAAAACATGATCTATCTAATTAAGATTAGAACATAAATCAAAATAAGAATTGTATATTTTATCACCTAAATAGAAGTTTTAGTTCTGTGAAATGTCTCAATATGTGTTAATAGTTTACAAAGCTTTCTCACATTATTTGTTGGCCATCCGTCCCAAAATTACTGTCCTAATTTCACTCTTATGTACTCTGTGTGATACATACTCCGTGATATTTCAAAATTAAGTGCAATATCTAAAATTATACTTACTCTTGTTAAATTATTGTAGAGTATAGCTACTTAAAGCAGATAATATATTATCTCAAAATGAAATTTGAAATGTAAAATCTGGGCGTTTGTTTTATCCCACTTGTAATCTTCATGTCATTACTTGATTAAACAACTTATAATAACCTATGTGCATCCCATTTGTCATCATATATTCAAGCATTTCACTTCCAGTTTTCCTTTGTAGGTGGGCACCAAACGCACATAGTGCTTTTCATGCTAGTTTCCATATCAGGTGGAACATAGACTCCATTGGACATGCTCTACAAGCTATATTTATCATTTACCATATTTATTACTCCTCTCCTTAAAAAAATGTTCCAAATTACATTATATATACTCATGAAGTGTAACTTTTTTGAGTTATAATGGACAAACTTTAATAATCAATTATTCTTAATGTGCACCACATATTAATACAACAAGATATAATTTTAAAATTCTCAATAAGATATATCTAATGAAATCATTTTTCACTTATATACATACATTTCAGATAAAATATTTTTTAGTTCCTATAAAATAGATGATTTTTGTTTTTAATCACTATAAAAAAAATTTTGTTTAAGTCATCCTTACAAAATCTTTAATTTTAAATATGGTCTTTAAACGTAATTAGTATTTCTAATTAGTTGAGATAACATGTGTTTCGTACTCAACATCCTAGTCTAGATATGAGATTTGTATCTAATATAATTAGAAATACAAGATTAAGACATTGATTACAAAATAAATATGTTATTTTAAGTAAATTGAAATGGTTATTACGTCTAAGGACCATTTTAGTAATAAAAGTTTTGTAAGTATGATTTAAATAGAAAATGTTTTATAGGGATTAAAAATAAAAGTCACCTATTTTACCCTTACACTTAATTTAATTGAACTCCAAAATTCTTCCAATTTGATTGAAAAAAATCAAAGTAGATGAATACATAGGACGAATGTATTATTTTCTTTCATCACTTTTTTCATTAATTATTTCACAAATAAAACATTCATGTCATTAGTTATTTTGAATAGTACAACTTTTGATATAGATTTAAAATACATAAAATATACAACAACCCCATCAAATTCCACGAACGTAGGATCTGTGTACGCGAACTTTACAGCTTATATATACTGAAAATACACTTAATTTGATAATAAATTATATTTAAATTTATTTTAGTTGAACATTATAAACCAGGTTAGAGGATTTTTTTCAGATACAAGGGGCTAAAGTACAGCTCTCATTCTTTTTTTAAAAAAATATGAACTTTTTGGCTGCAACACACTCGCTGCTTCCAAAAAAAACTTCACAAGGAAACAATTTTGTTATTTGTGTGGTTATAAAAAGCTTATCCCGGGATGGAGGCAATAATTGAGAACAGGGAAACTACACCATAACTGGATTCCCTTTACTAACCACTGCACAGCCTCAAACATAAAAAACTGAGATGTGTTTCAATAAATGTACTCACTAACGTAAGACACTAGTGGGTGTTGTTGGTTAATTCCAGTCAAAAACATAGTTTAGGCAGTTTTTAGGCCGTTTGTGTCTGTTTGTAATGGTTGTGTTGGTTAGTCCTCTATTTATATGTATGGAAACATAATTCTGGACAATAGTATCACAATAAAAACACTCTGTTTATATACTCCAGATCTGATTTTTTTTCTCTCAGGTGCGTGTATAAACTAAAACTAACAATTCAACAGACTAGTGTTAATCATTAGTTCCCACATTTGGCATTTCTGTTCATTCAACTTTTCCAAATGACAGTTGACTCACAAACAAGGAGTTCCACAGCAAAAATTCCAAAATTACAAGGAATCTAGAGGAGACAGTCATTGATTCAAAGGCTTTACAGCAGTTTTAAACAGAAGGATATAAACCTTGTCGATCGAGAAGTACAAAAATCCTCCCAGGGAATGCGTAACGTACGAGCCGAAACTTGTTCCTACGATGCAATGCCATGCCGGACCATATGCAGAGTCAAATTCCTGAAAACCCAACACAGAAATGACTAAAGTAAATCAATTGAATGTACAAAAGGCAGACAGACACTAGATGTTTTTAGGAGTATGCTTAAGTACACCACTTGAGAAACCGCCATCGCCTCCCCTCAGTGACCCGTGCATCCTAAAACAGGAAAGGAATACAATGGCAACCGGTGTACATCAAGAATGCAAGACGTTCTTTTGCATTGGCTTTTAGAAAATATTTTAAGGAATATTTAGAAAGAACACAATCAAGAATAAGTAAGGCAGATTTTAAGGGATAAGATACTTTGGTATTGGGTGTGTAAACAGGTGGAGCAAAACTGGTTAAACACAAAAATACACTGCCACATTTAGCTATTCTTCGCTTTAACTTTAAAATTCTTGAAATAACTAAAGTTGAGCAACATAGTGCTAAGAATCTAAATGCACAACGATAAAGAGACAAACATGTATTCTAAATTTAGTTCTGTCCAGCAGTCAATATATAATACTAGCAAGCCATCTCCGACCATTACCTTCTTTTTTTCTTCCCCAAATGCAAGGACATAGAAAACTGTGGGTGTTATCCATCCGGAGTTAGACATGGATGGGCTAAATTGATAGACATTTGAATTTGCAACAATGTATCCGAGATGGATTAAGCTATTTGTACCCCATGTTTTTGTACCCCAATTTATACCCCGCAGGTTTGCACCAACATTTTGTGTTGGTGTAAAATTAATTTTTGTTAATGCACCAACACTTTGTGTCCGTGTAAACTTTTGTTAACGCACCAACACTTGTGTCGGTGTAAACCATCAAAATATTTGTGCATAACTGTGGTGTACAAATGGGGTATATTTTTTGGTGTAAGTTTAGCATGGTTGATCCGAGATTGACATATGGACATTAAGTTAGGTGACAGTGGACATTGAAACCACAAATTCCGTGAGACGAACACTTATAGAGTGAGAATGTGATGGGTGGTAGGCAGCTGGGTGTGATGGGCTGCAGCATTTGATGATTCCGCCAAGATGGGATTGTGAATTAGGGTTAGGATAAACAATAGAATTATCAAAAGGGCATATTGACACGTTTACATTAATAATAATGAATTGGTTACTTAATAATTGGGAAAACTAAAACAAAGGGTATGATATGAGGAAAACACTTGGCGGTATCCAGTAGTCACCACTGGTGCAGAACTATCAAGTTCTCATGATAATGCACCAAAAGCAGGGTTTTCGGATGAACGGAAACACATGATGTAATGTACAAAGATCTCAAGCAAGAGAGGAAACATGCAAAAAAAAAAAAAACAGAACAAAGGTAGGACATTTCCAACCCAACAATGCACAAAATTCACAGTGAATGAACCATATTTCTGGGTTAGGTTTCAAAGAAAATCAGCACAAATCTAATTCCGCAGTTGACGAATATAACCCTCCCCTTAACAAGCATCTCTCACCCCCACATAAAAAAAAAACACAGCACAAATCTAATTCTCATAAAATTGGTTGCAAGAAGGGAAAGGGGAAAAATCTGACCTTCTTGAGAGCAAGTGCGAGGCGTTTGCTGTCAAGCTTGGGAGAGGGCATGGAGTCGAGGCAGTTGGTGGCGCACTTAAAGGCCCTGTTCTGGAGGGCTAAGGGCATGTCGGAGGCCCTCACGCGGAGGATGACCTTCTGTTGTTGGGGCTGAGGCCGGATGCCGTCGTTCTGCTCCCCCTCCGCGCCGCCCCTCTTCCTCAGTATCAAGCTGTTCAAGAACTTGCTTCTCCTCTCTAACTCTTCCTCTGCCTTCTCCATCACCGCCGCCCCTTCATTCCACCCTCTGGGGACAGCTGGATCTTGCTTTGATTTGAACGGGTGGGGACGAGGGAGTGGGTTCGGAGAAAGGGAGAAAGTGGATTCTTATTTTGGGTTTTATTGTCCTTTTGTCTTGATGCTGTTTTCTCTTACCCGTTATACTCTCATTTTCAAAACAACTACTGTAGTATTTAACCCGTGCCACGCACGAGGTCGAACGCATGTTAATTTTAACTCTGTTAATTTTTTGTTTTAAGTAAATAATTAAAAAATAAAGGTAAATATAATATAAAATGTTAGATACGACATAAACAAAGTATGCTAACTAAAATTCATGTATATAAAAATTGAAAAGAATGTATAAAATGTTAGATACAACATAAACAGAGTATGCTAGCTAAAATTCAAGTATATAAAAATTGAAAATAATGTATAAATATATCAATTAAATTCATTTTTTTTGGAAAACTTCAAGGTAAACCACATTTTTGGTGTAATTGTAAGGGTTACCGTTATTATCTAAAACTAACCTTTCTTAGTCAACGAATCGATAACATCTTAAAGTTTTCTACATTCTCTAAGTTTAAATAATCCATCTTTTTTGATATACTTTATTACATTTATGGATTATACTTCTATCTAGTAATTAATATTTATAAATCTAATATCATTTATTATGAATCCACAATTGCAAATAGATGAAAAGTATTAAATATTTTACTTCCCTTAGTTATTGAATTCTCGATGTAGAGCGAAAATATAAAGCAAGAAGAATAATATATAATGAATTAAAAAATCCGTATATTATGCAGTATATGGATATAAGTGCCCGAAATGGAAGTCTCAAAGTCTTTAACCCATTTTAATTATAAAGTAATGCATAAACAAACCCAACAGTTATATATCATAAATTGTCTAAAAAAAAATTAAATAAACACATTAAATCAAGAGACGGATCCATCGAAACCGTAAAATGAAATATCTAGTCTCTAGTTTTTTTCTATTTTGATATTCTTCATCTTCTTGCTCGACTCATCCCCACCTTCATGATAATCTTTTATGTCTTTCACTCTTTTATTGAGAGTAGAATCAATGATAACATCCACATTCCGTTCCAAGCAATCATCCTTAGATTCACCAAAGGCTTCAAAAAAATTCTGCATGATAAATAGTAAAAAAGTTTATTAACTTTCATCAAGATAATAAATGTTGCTTCCTTTAAAAATGTGGATTAGTTACAGCCTTACAGGCAGTTTTATTCCAGGCTATTTTGTTCCATAAAATGAGATAAGTTTATGAACTTTCATCTCTAAAAAAGTCCCAGTCCTTTTTTATCATTCTAAAAAAACTGGCAGATTTATTACCACAAAAGTACCTACGCTTTTATTGTTCTACCACAAGAAAGTTGGTTATAAAAAAATGTGTATGCAATTCTGGAGGTTCACAAAAGTACCACAAAACTATGGGTTAGTACCACAAATGTACTATGATGAAGACTTGGAATTGAGTGTAGATGAAAGAAAGCTGAATGAAAGTAAGCAGATAGATTTTGCAAAGGTTGAGAAATGTGTGCAAATGACATGTGGTTGGTTTAGCACAGGGACGGTAAGGTGAGTCTTTTTATGTTTTACGTTATAACCATGGCCTGAAGTCCATATTCTATCCTAAAATAATCAATATTTGACAGTCAACACGTTTGGAGTATCATGTAATGAGTCAAGTAAGATTCTTGGAATCTTCAGTTGAAGATTAACAATAGAAGATGGTCTCATAAGGCTGCCATTGATGGCTATGGTCTCAATGCCTATCAAATTTTGAGCATGGATAGAATGTTACATCATAAAATGGATTAAATCCAATCTGTATTGTCCCTAGTTAGTCATTCTTAGAGATAGACCAAATCATAATGCATTTTACCAAAAAAGAACGTTGACTCAAGATTATCGAGAAAGGAAATAAAATGCACCTTGATTCAAAACATGTCTGTTGGCCTCTGAGCCTTTCTTGTATGTGTGGTGGCATTCTCACCAAATCTCAAAAAAAAGTTATTAATGCTCTTAATAGTCGAATCAAGATCATTTCCACATGCATAAAGTGCCTTTTCTAGCAATTGCGAACATATATGTTCAGATAAAGAATAACAATTAAGCTGTAAGCTACAACAAATAAGCATCACTGTGAAAAAATGTTTCACAGATTGTTCAAGTAAGTATTTCCTTGAAATATTCTTGTTGTACTTGGGGATGCTCCCACTTCAAAATTCTCAAGCTTTTCCCATATTCTAAATATCCATTCGAAACATTTTTGAAAAAAAACTAAAAACTAATCTAAAACCAACTTTCAGGAAATCATATAGCGGATATATTTCTGATTTTTTAATGAGCACAACATCTAGAATATACAAAATGTTAAAGAGCCTCTTTGTCCATATTTAAAAACATAAATTTTGAACATATCGAAACAACTTTTTAATCTATACAACATCAAAATATCTAAAAACATAAACTTTGAACAATTTTTATATATTAAAAAAGAACCTCTTTTTCCATGCTAGAAAAGCGAGCGATCAAATGACTCAACGGCAGTGAGACAGAGAAAAAATTGGCAATGGATCTCGGGAGAAAGAAACGAACAACAGATGAAAGTCGGTTTACACCCTAAGAGGGGGGTGAATTAGGGTGTTTGCAAATTTTTCATAAAATCAAAAACTTATGCGCAAGGTAGTAGCGGAAAAAGAGCAAGAAAGATTTAAGAGATGAAAATACGACACAAGCGATTTTATACTGGTTCGGGAACTCCCTACTCCAGTACCTCGAGGCTCCTCCTCAAGGATTTAACCTCCACTAACTTGTTTGGCTTCACTAAGAAGACTCAAACAAGGTTTGGCAAACAACCCTTGCCAATAAGCAAATGAGATTTTACACCGGCTATCTCAACCGTTTACAACTGAAGATTTTAAGGCTATCTTCAACCCTACAATGAGGATTTAAAGGCTATCCACACCTTTTATAACTCAATAAAAGATTGGTGTTGCTTCTCTACCAAAGTAATAGCAAATGTAAATTGGGTAGGAGAAGAACAAAAGATTAAATCAACAACAACAAAAGCCTATAGGCAAGATATAAAATAATGAAGCACAAATGCCCTTGTGTGTGAGTGTATAAAAAGATGAAAGCTTTTTACTCAAAAGAGTAAGAAAAATAAGAACAAAGCTTTAAGAACACTCAAGAATAGAGAAAGAGGCTTTAGAATTAATTGGGAAGTTGTTGTGAATAAAAGGAGACTTAGAGGGGGTTTATATAGGAGTTTGGAGTGTTAAAATTTGAGTTTTTAACGTTAAATGCCGTTAGGAAGTGATTTGAATTTAAATTGGCAATTTGCTACAGTGCTGCCAACGGATCCGGTACCCTTCACGGTAGGGTCAGTACCGTCCGGTACCTAGGTATCGTGACACACGGTACAGCCTACCGTTTGGGGGTACCGTGTAGGCCAAAAGTTTGGTTCGCTACTGGCGGTACCTGGTTAGGACGGGGGTACCCAGCCGGTTCAGCCTACCGTACGGTACCCAGGTACCGTCTCACGGTAGGGGGGGTACCGTGTACCTCCTGAGTGAAACGTACCCGGTATGTTCACTAGGCTACCGGCGGTACCCTGGTGCCGTGTATACGGTAGCCAGGTACCGTTAGGCCTGTGTAAAAATTCCAAAACTTGTTTTTCGTGTTCCGTTTTCAAAATAACCTCAACTAAGAATATATTTGTCATTTTAAAATTAAATTTTGAGTGAAAGGGCATAAGTAACTCATTAAAATATATCATTACCTTTACACAACAATTTCTAAACTCGTAGGAGTATATCTCGGTGATGCTAAACAAGCTAATAGAGGTTTTGGCGTTTGTTTTTCCTGCAAATGATGTTAGTAACATTTCGAAGACTTATTTGGCACATCAAAACGGTTACGGGGTACGGCATTCAAGGCCAACAACAGATTCTCTTCACGCTCGGAGGGGAAGATACAATGCTTTCCTTATTACACGATATTTTATATATAGCTACAAAACCCGTGAAAACTGGTAAATAAAAAATGTGCCATGTAATATACAATGAAACGGTTAAAGAAATTGTAGGTAATTAAGGTAAAACAAAGAATAATACTAAATGAATATGAACGAAAACATGGGGATGAATGACAATGAATTACGAATAGAGGAAACATTCCTCTTAACAACAAATCTTGTAAATTGCCCTGTTGAATCTCCATTCTAAATTTCAAATATCAATTTTTGTATTTTGGATCTGAATTAAGAGAGAAGATCAAAAGCACATAATCCCACATCGAAAGTTCAAAAAGAAAATAATTAAAGACATTAACCAATCCCCAATCAATTTGGTGGCCATGGTAGTTTTTTTTTGGTTCGGCGAAGCACTGGAGTACTGGACAGATCTGACTTCACAAAAATCGAAGAGGAGAACCGGCGGACTTCACAGGCGGACGGCCTTCGCTAGGAAACAGCTATCGGCGAACTTCGGCAGACTTCACAGGTGGACGGCCTTAGCTGGAAAACAGCGATCGGCGGATGAAGGGAACAGAACCGGCGGACGAACTTCTGGCGATGGATCCCCTCGTGCGATTTCTTGAATCTGCGGGCGAAGGGAACAGAACCGGCGGACGAAAACACAGATGAAGAGATGCGATTTGAATCTCGGGCGGACTGAAATTAAACAATCAAATCTGGTGATGCCAGTGATAGGTCAGTCCAGCGGCGGAGACACACGATAGGGACAGGGACGGCCGATGGGAACGAAACAACATATTGAGTTTCTTTAGGGGAAGAAGAGAAGACGGAACATAGATCTTCTAAATTCAAGAGTTTCTTTTAGGTGGAGAAGACATCTCGGATTTCTTCCGGCAAATCGAAAAAGAAGAACAGACATACCTGGAGTGTGAGAGCAGATTCTTAGAAAATTGTTTTGGTGGAGAAGACCGTCAAAGTTGCAAAATTGAAAAGAAGTTTTGGGGAGAAGATTTCCTTTCCTTTCCTTCTTTGAAAACTGGATCGAGAAAGATCTACAGAAAGAAACGGATTCTTTCTTTTTTTTAGGCTTATGTGTCAAAATAATAAAGCTCTAAAATTGCCATGTGTCAAAATTTTAAGAAATCAACTCTCAAATTTTATATTAAAGGATTCAAAATCAACCAATGCTAGAGGTACACTAAAACTCTAAAAGTGTAGCAAAAAAATGTACTAATATTTTTTCAGTTTTCATTTTCAAAACAATTCAAAATCATGTTAGAGGTACACCAAAAGTATACCTCAAAGAAATGTACCAATATTTTAGCATTTTACACTGGCAAAAAATATTAGTTCAATTAAAAAAATTTGTACTGACATTTTTTGTTAATATAAATCATCACACTAACATTACACTAGTACAAAATATTGGTGCATGCCTGTGGGGTACAAAATGAAATACAAATTTGTAGTGTACAAATATAAGTGAAAGTCCTAATTCCAAAATAGAGTGCTTTTATAATCCACCCTTGGTACGTACTCCCTCCGTCCCCCTGTATTTGTCCACTTTCATTTTTACACACCATCCAATGTACTTCTTTAATCCATTTTATCTTGTAATTTGTATATTAAAAAACTATAAAAATTATATATTAATAATCTATATATTAAGACACATCAAACAAGATCACACATGACTATATTTAGGCTTACACATTGAGAGAATTTGATGAGTCAAAGTGCTTAGATGAACAGTTCCAAAAATCAAATGTGGAAAAATACAGGGGGACGGAGGGAGTATTATTTTTGTAGATCTTCTCACATGAATTTTTTTTTATTTTAATAAAACAAATGCTTATTTAAGTAATAAAAAATACTTATTTTGCTCAAATATAAGTCCATGGTGGACCTTAGGTCCACCATAAAATTTGCCTCCAAAATATTAGTCTTATATACATGATGATTCATGATGATTTTGCCATTATTATGTCTTATATACTCACTTTAAATGCAATTGTAATTGATTATTATTTTTTTGTACATCCGCCAAGCACTTGTCATGTGCTTAATAGATAATCAAGCCTAACTATAACTTTTAAAATCAAAAGAAGATAATATTATAGTGATAAGAAAGGTCATTCTTCCATAGGGATTAGTGGTTAACTCAATTAAATAAGACCTAGTTTCAAAGTCTAGAAAAGTAAAATAATAACCCACACTCAACTCACATAGAGGGGGTGTATTTCTAAAGAGTTTTGTTTTGAAATAGAGTTTGAATAGAAACCTAAGGAAACCAATAACTAAAAAAAAACATAATGCAAAATAAGAAATTAGGAAACTATAAAACTGTAAGTTGCTTGTATTTTGAAATATACCTTTGTTTTGGGAGTAAGTGGACATATGAACTCAACTGTGAATCATAACAAAAGATCAAATCAACCTAAAAGCAGCTTGGGCTGATGATAATGACCATCAAATTCTCCTTAAGTCTGACTAGACTCAAGACCAGCCCCTAACGTAGACCTTTTCACACAAGTTAATACTTGAACCAGCTCAAATATGAATCCTAAATGAAAGCGATGAACCCTAGACAATTCTACCAAAAAAATCACTACAACCTAACTGGCTAGGTTGTATAATGACTCAATGCTATTGGCCAGTACACAGAAACCTTGACCAAAGGTTTGAGCTTACCGTTTGGTACTAAATCTACCTCCCCTTAGCCATTGTGCCCTCAAGAAGACAAAATACCAGGAGAAGTGAGGGTCATGCCACTAATTTGGTTCTAACAGACAACATAATCTCACAAACCATAACATACAATTTCTAGTTTCAAAAAAGTTTAAACATGTTTCAAGCTTCAAAGCAGATCTAGTTGACACATCTACTCCAACAACCAAGGTAAAATAGATTTACTCTCTTCATGAGTTCAAATCTCAGGAAAAACATGTAAAAATTCAAAAAATCATCATGCTGTTTTGAGTTTTAACAAACACTTCTAAGTATGCTTCGCATTTCTTCCGTATTAAGCATTTGGCTTGCATGAAGGATATGAACTAAGGTGGTTGTGGAATAAGTTTTCCTTTGACAATGACA